AGGCTTATAATATATGTAACAAAATTGTGGTTTCAACTAGATAAAACAAAAGAAGGAGGAGAAGGAAAAGGTGGAAAAGGGGCAGAAAAAAGAAGAAAAAAGAGTAAGAGGAAGAGAAGGAGGAGAAGGATAATACAGGGAGAGGTTGGGAGGAGAAGAAAAGAAGAAAAGTAAAGTGCAGGGAGGAGAGAAAAAAAGGAGGTAATGGAAAAAAGAGAGAAAGCAACAGCGCTTATTCTAATAAAATAGAGAAAACGGAATCATATAAAATGCCAAATCATGTAAAATTCTAAAGAAACAGAGAGTAAAATACACAAGCAAAGATACATAATGAGGGAAACGAGTTGAAAATGGAATAAATATGGTAGATATTCATCCAATTGTATCAATAATCACTTTGAATATCAATACTAGTAAAAAATGGAACTTACCAAAGTTGGCCAAGAAATACCATTTATATTGGTTTTCTGTGACATACCAATTTTGTTTTTGTTTTTTTTTAAAGAAGGAGGAAACACGCAGACAATAAAAACAAAAACACAAAAGAGACAAGCAAACAACAAAACCCCCCAAACAATAACAATATAGGTTTTCAAAGCAAAATGATAGGAATTTAACAGTGGTTGTTATATTGTATATTGTTATCTTCAAAGAAATATCAACCTTGAATAGAAAAATATTTTTAAAATAAAAATACTATTATAGAGTAATAATAAAAGGAAAGGAAAGGTAGAGCATGCTAACACTAATCAAAAGAAAGTAGAAGACATAGAAGACTGAACCAAAGAGATATATCAGGAATAAAGACGCCTATTTCATGATGAAATAAGTCAAATTTCTCAGAAAACAGAATGATTTGTAACATTTATGCTCCTAATAAAAATATCAAAATATTGAGGCAAAACATGTAAAACTGCAAGGAGCAAGTTTTGATTTTGTAATTATGGTTGATATTCTAGGTTTTTTCACATTTAGAAAGCCAACTGTATTCTGTCACATCAGAAAGCTAAAAAAGAGAGACCACATGACTATTACATTAAGTTCAGAGAAAGCATATAATACCTTTTTATGATTACTCTCAGAGAACTAGGAATAGAAAGGAAACATTTCTACTTTATGAAGAAAACCTACCAAAAACCTGCAATATTCTGTGCTATGAGGAATTTGGAACTTTCCCGCAAGACCAGAAACAAGGCATGGATATTCTCACTCTCAAAATAGTGCAGGACGCTGACAAAGCCAAATGCTGGCGAAGATGAGGAGCAAGAGGCACGCCTGCTCATTGCTGGTAGATACGCAAAATTAAACATTTGGAAGACAGTGTAAAACACAATTTTACAACTTCTAATCCAATGATCAAACATTTTGGAACTATATCAAAACAGTTGAAGTCTTATGTATACAGAAAAAAAAGCTAAATATGGACATTTATAGCAGCTTTATCTGTAAGTACCCAAACTAGGGAAGCATCAAAGATATCCTTCAGTAGCTTACTGGGTAACTGAACTATGGTGCATCCAGCAAATGGATACTAAATGGAATCAGCTATCAAGCCCTGGAAACATACACAGAATTAAACCACATATTACTAAATAAGAGAATTCAATTTAAAAACGCTACATACTGGGCAGGGCTTTAGCTGAGAGGCACGCGCACAGTGACTGCCTGGTAAACACAAGGTTTTGAGTTCAATTCTCAGTGCCCCCCCCCAAAAAAAGCTATGTACTGTATGATACACCCTATAAAATTTTTACAAAGATGAAAGAATGACGACAGTTACAAAATAAAAAATAGAAAAGAGAGGCTGGCCAAGGCAAACTTGGGATGAGTTGGCAAAGCACAGGGTATCTTCAGGCAGCGGGGTTAGTCTGTGGTTTGCATCAGGGCTAACTCAGGGCCGCACACACTGTAAGTTAAGCCCAGTGCAGACTATGATGGCAGGGGATGATGCTGTGTCAGTGTGGGGTCATTAGTTGCAACAAATCCGATGCCTCAGAAACGGATGTTCACAAGTCGAAGGGAAGTTGCAGAAAGGAAGAAATCTCTAGATCCTCTGGCCACTGGGCTGTGATCCTGAAAGCACCCTAAAATGATTGTGATTTGAAAATGAGGAAAATAAGCAAAAGTTCATTTTTCAAAGAGATGGCTTTAAAGGAAATAGGAAAACCACACTGGAAAGATGAAAACAGAAACACAACACATTGGAATCTGAGAGGAGCAGCAGATGCAGATCTAAGAGGAGAATTATATCACTGAATGCTTACATTAAAAATAAGTTGTAAATTAATAATCTAAAATCCTACTTCACATTAGAAAAAAGCAACATAAAATCAAATCGACCAAAAAAGAAGTAAATATAAGAGGAATTCACTAAATTGATTGATGAGAAAAAATTTGAGTCAATAAAAGAATAATTTTATGTCTTTGAAAACTGTCAAGTATGATTAATACAAAATATAAAGCAATAAAATAAACAATACAATTAGAAAACACACACATATGCAAACAAAACAAAGCAAAACAAAACCAAAAAAAAATCAAGAAGAAAAAGTAGTTCCTCAAAGACCAATTGGGACTAGGACATATGCCTCAAAAAGTTGTTTATTGCTAGATACTGCACCAATGCAATTAAAAACTACAAAGTGAAAAACACGCAGTACTTGCAGGGAAAGCAGAGAAACTGCATGACTCATACATTATTGGAATACAAAATGTTACAGTTATTTTGGAATATAATTTAGCTGACTTCTTTAAAACAAAACAGCTCCCAGAAATTTGCACTTGTAAGCACTTTTCCCGAGAATTTAAAACTTACATCCACAAAAAACTTGATGCTATTATCCTTGCTTTGCTTCTCTAATTGGTCATTGTCTTACTATTCATTTAGTTTCCTACTAACAAGTAGCACACAAGACTACCAAACAGCTATCAAATGTCCTAATTTCAATTCCTAAGTAATTTCTACACTGTCAGCAGAGATGATGACCAGGCAGTAGATATAAGTGTAGCTAAAGTATTCCACAGACTTAGCCAGCACTCTGGTTGGTCAGTGCCTTTTCTTGTTAAATGTTCCCAATTTTGAATTTAGTTAGTACCATCTATCTTTCTCTTATTTTATAGACAGAGATGCTTAATATAAATACATTCTTTCATGTATCAAATGGCATAGACTTACTACTTTTAAGACTGCTTCTTCTACTACTCTATAAATGGTTCATTTAAGTTTAAGAATCACATTCAACTACATATTAGCTTCTTAAAAACTTGCATTTAATGAATGAAAATATAAAATAGTATTTAAAAGATGAAGGGCAAAAATAACTAATATTTACTGTAAAGGAAATACAATCAGCTTCAGAGTTGCATATATAATATACAACATTAAATAAAGCTCTAAATAGTATATAGTTAGTAGTCACCTGATTAAACTGATGGTGTTTGGTTCAGTGCTAAGGGTTTATTAGTTCATAACAAAGTGAAAGGGTAATAACTAAAGATCAAATACCATACTGCTATCAGTACCCTACTAGTGAGAAGAATGCAGAACTATATTAACATTACTTCACCACTTCTGAGTTTTATGCTGTTTTGAAGTTTTGAGAATTCTAGCAAGAGCTCAAGTACATTTTTGTACAGCAGTAAGGCATTTTGTGATAGTAACAGCAAGAGTCAGTGTAGATAGCAGTGTACTGAGCTGGCACAAAATAAATGATCCATTGTGGCAAGTGTGGAGGGAGGAGGCAGTGTGCAAAGACGTAGATAGAAGATGGCCACATACAGAGCCCTGTATTAAAGGAAGAGGATTTCATGAGAGTGTATACTTGAGAATGAAGAAGCAAGTGCAGAGAAGTAAATTGATGAAATTATGCATGCATTTGTCTAAGCTGATGCATTACAGACACAAGGCAAAGCTATGATACCACCAATAATTTAAAGAAACACAAATAGGAATTGAACTGGCAAAAGGGTACTAAATCAACAGATCCTAAATTAAATTACCTACAGTCTAGGAAGAGGGAGTAAAACTGATTGCAAAGACAAACATAAAACAAGAACATACATTCCCTGAGCAAAGTGGACAGTAGTTAAGGAGGAATGCAGGTGGCAAAGAAGAGGTCACCTTGTTCTAAGGAGTGTGTGTGACCTGAACCCACAGCTGCATTTAAAGAGTTTGCACGGATATCACACAGTCTGCGTACTAGATGGGTTCGCATGTCAGATGAAGTGTCACCCTGAATTCCATACGTGAAGAAGTATAACAAATTTATGGTAATTTTGACTCATCATTGAAATCTACATTGAGTTTTCATGTCCATATAATTAACTTTAATTTTACTATTTACTATGTAATTTTTCTGCCATACTGGGATAATATTTATGTAATTTATTCTTACTCAAACATAGATATTCTAGAATATATATTAAAATAATGAAAAGAACTTAGATTTTAAATATTTACAAATATATGTTCATTTTGGAGTAAGAGCAGTGAATCTGATACTCAAAAACAGTCTAACATATTACAGAATACTGAAAATTTTCATGAGGAAAAGAAAAACTCCTTCATTTAATCACTTTTTAGCACATAATTGCATGGTCAAAAATTGACTTTAAGAATAATTTTGTGTAGGAACATGTGTAACTATTTAAAGAAAGAATAAATAATAATAAAATAGAGTCAACTCTTCTCATAGGATTCAAATTTTCTAGAGTGTGAAACCATAAGGTGATCCACTCAGCTTCTAGGATGTTGCTTTAGACAAGATAGAAGTATGTTTCACAGAGAATTAAAACTAAGGAAATACAACTAACTGCAATTTAAGGGATGCTTTTCTGTGGAAATTTATCATTAAAAATTTAAAGTGGATCTATTCTTCTGATCATGAGGGATAGATAAGCAGGGAAAGTTCTTGCTTTTTTTGGTTCTGCTAAATCTTCTGCCTGTGTTTCTTCATTGCATTAATGTGATCAGAGGTGTGTGATGAATGTCTTGTGTTTACCTTTGCTTCAATCTGTTTAGTATCTGGATTCTGAAACAAAAATTTGATTTTGCTCTTGCCGTCATCTGAAGAACCTTTAAGCTGAGAAAATTTATACCTCCAAAGTACAGCCTGCAAGGAAAAAGAGAAACATACTTAAGTCAGTATAATTAATATCTGTAATTAACCCAAGAAATAGCACTCTTTTAAATTGTGAAAGTTAATCATATAAAAGTAGAGATTGTCTCAGTACTAAACTGTAAAGGAAAGCCAGATGTGGTGCCACATTTGTGTAATTTCGTACTAGGAAGACTGAGGCAGGAGGATCACTGCAAGTTTGAGGCCAGCCTGGGCACCATAGTGAGTTCAAGACTAACCTGAACCACACAACAAAACATATATATATATATCTTTAAGTATATATCTTTACTTATATATCTTTATATATGTGAAAACATATTTATACTTATATATCTTTACATATGAAAACATATTTATTAAATACTATATTTTAATGTTCAGTATATTCTTTAGCTTCCAGATATAATTTTTGTAACCACTAATTTTTTTCATTGCAAAATTATATATAAATACGTTTTCAATCTCGTCATTTTTTCAATGGAAATTAATTGTGCCTTTGATTTAAATCAATAAAATTGAAATTTTTAAATCAATAATTCTGAAACTTTCTCTTAAAGCTCAAACTAGTGACCTGTAACTTTCCTGAGATGGCATATCATTTGAATAAATAATGTTTGGGCCTGGAGCTATAGCTCAGTGGTGTAAAGTTCTTCTAGAATTCATGAAGCCTTTTGCAAATGACACATACATACACAACTACATGCACATATTGTAAAGATGTACATGATGCTTTCATGGGACTGAACTAGCAAAAATATTTTATAGAGCACTCCACGCCGACTTTGTCTTTGAAACAGTTGCTTTCCGAAAAACAGTAATTTATAAATATAATTCTCTTTATCTCAAAGTATCAAAAATATGTACCTTTTAAAATGGAAAAAATAGAGAAACAAAAGATTAAAGTGGAAATAAATAGACATTTTACATTATGTGTTTCCTGTATTACAAGTCTTATTGAACAAGAATGGTTTTTGAAACATAGAATTAGAGTGTAAAATGCCAATCACATAAATCATTAAAGGCAAAATGGTGTGTGATTCAAATAAAATCACACACCATGTGGTTTTGAGATTTTACTGTTTTTCTAAAAATATTTTTATTCATTTACGCTTGCAACATATAATATATTCTTCATGGGAAGCTTGCATTTTAAACTAAGATGTGTAGAAATATGCGCCAACTATGCCAGGAATGTAATCACATACTGCAAAAATTTACCAATAGAAATGAAAAGGAGCAAAACAAAATACAGTAAATATATCTCAGTAAGACTTTGACTCATTAATGCATGATGTAAAAAAGTACAGTCAACCAATTATGTTTCATTAAAAATAGTTTCTAAAAAGATCAAAAACATAACTAATCTATTTGAATTTTTCTTAGGGCAGTTTTGATTTAGCTATTTTCTCTGCTAAAACTGTAAAGAAATAAATATGCATCTCACTCTTTTCAGAAAAATATTTGACAGATAATATATTTAAAGAAGCAAATATGCACATGTGAATATATTCCCTTTGACTTACAAAAAATAAATTACAGTTAAGCATTTTAAGAAAATGAATTTTAGTGTTTTAGACCCTTGAAATCTACATTTCTTAAAACCTTAAATTCTTTAAATCAGTTGCCCAAGGAGAAAGCACTATACTTTCACCAAAAAAGTAAACAATAATGTTTAATAAAAGTATTGTTCTCTAAATTTGTCTCATTCCGACACTGAGGAAAACAAGATTAATAAAGTTTGCAAAGGATACATTTAACCTGAATTTAAAATGAGTGAGCAAAGTTACTCTCCAACCAACAGATTGTATGTAGTGTATATTCATACAAATTAATTTTCCTCTTGGTAATATTCTCAGTTTATCTACTCAGAGCATGTTAGCAGACTTTACCAGTAATCTCTATTAGGGAATACGTGGTCTTAGAGCTGGAAACAGGAGTATCTAACATTCAAACTGAGCTGTGCACATTATTAATTTTGATGCAGTTAAAATCTGCTTTTTTCCCTCTTGTTGTTTGTGTTGGTTCATTCCCAAAACAAACATAAAAGCCAACATCATGAAGATTTTCCGCTAAGATTCTTTGAATTTTATACATTTTTAAATATACATTTTCTGTATGATTTAATTCCTTGTATGAGGTTGATACTTGTCCATAAAACATCTTAATTCCTTTTTCCATTCTTTTTCCTTCTCCTCCCTCCCTAACTCCTCCATCTCTAGAGTTTTAATTTTTATATTTAGATCTTTGTTGCATTTTGTGTGATTTTTAATTAGGCACAGGCTCAACCTTATTCTCTGAACATGAGCATTAAATTTTAGTGATATCATTAGTTGAAAAACTTTTCATTTCTCAGTGCATGGTTTTGGTACCGTTTTGACAATAATTTGATCATATTGTAAGGATTTATCTCAGTGATCTCTATTCTATCCAATTGGTCTTCTTGTCTGTCTGTATGATATTGGGACATTTTTGGTTACTATAGTGCTATAGTAAATATGGAAATAAGAAATCTAATATACTTACCTTTGATCTTTTTCAAGATTGCTTTGGTTATGTGAGGTCTTTGGAGATTTTATAAGAATTTTAGCATGAATTTTTCTATTTCTTCAAATACATCAATGAAATTTAATAGAGATTACATTGAATCTATGAATTAGTTTTGGTTATCTTTTCATCTTAGTAATATTAAGTATTTCCATCCATGAACATAGAGTGTGTGCTATTTATACTTAGTTTATTCTTTAGGAATTTCATTTTTGATGTTATTTTAAATGGAATTTGTCAAATTCTTTTCTAGATTAATATTGTTAGCATACAGAAACTATTTTATATTTGTGTGATGATTTTGTATGCCAAAAGTTTTTTGAAATTAGTTTTTAGCTAATTGTGTGTATGTGAATATACTTGTGGGTTATTTATATATAATGCAATGTCACTTATAAAAAGATAATATTGATGCTTATTTTTTGTTGCTTATCCACGCCTAGTACTTTCAATGCTATGTTAACAGAAATGTAGATATCTTCATCATGTTCCTTATCTTGAGGGAAATTTTTTAAACCATTGTTATGTCTGATATTAGCTGTAGGTTTTTCATATATTATACTGTTTTATTAAGAAAGGTTGATGCATTTTGTTAAATTTTATTAATTAATTGATGTGTTCATTAATCTTCATTCTAGCGATACAGTATATAATATTAACTGATTTTCAGATATTGAAACTTTCTTATGTTCTGAGATTAGCTACTTCTTATATTTATAATACATTGCTGAAAAGTATTTCTTTTACTTAAGAGAATTTTTTATTTATATTCATAAGGAATGTTGATGTATTGTTTGAATTTTTCATTTAGTGACTTTGCCTGGCTTTGGAGTTAAAGTAATTTCAAGTGCTTCTCAGAAAAAGTTAGAAAGTATTCTTCACTTCAATATTCCTTGCAATTTTTGAAAATTACTGTTGTTAATATTTTCTAAATGTTTCACAGTATGTACAAATGAAATCATGGTAGAAGCTTCTTCTTTATTGGTAGGTTTAAATTACAGATTCATCCTTCATAAACAGTTTTTACTTCTAGCAGGATGATGTTTCTAGAAATTCCATCATTTCACGTATGGTATTGAAATAACTGGAAGGCAATTCTTCAAAATCCATTTATTCTGCAATATTTTCCTCATAACTCTGCTGTTTTTTCTTGGTTGCTTCCAAGTTTTGGCAATTATATGTAGCAATGCTCTTATAGATAAAAGCACTCTAAACATGTAGATGATAGATAGATAGATGACAGATAGATGAGTGTAGGGCATAAATGTTCAGCATCTTTAAGCCTTAACTAAACACTACAAAACGTCAAAGCTTTATCACATAGTAAAAAAATTGTTTTCCATATATCAATGTTATTGTGTCCTTGTACCAAGTAAGAATGAGAGTTCCTGTTACCTCATATCTTTGCCAGCATTCAGAGTTCCTATGTTTTTGTTTCTAGATATTCTAGTAAGTGTATTATGATTTCTCTGTACTGTTTTACATTTTCCTCAAGACACAAGCTGTGGAGCATGGTGTCATATATTTAGTTTCCATATCTGTATCTTCTTTGGAGCTAAATTCCACTCCAGTTTTAAAAATCAGGCTATTTTCTTACTGTTTATTTAAGGAACATAGAAATTTTATTTTATTAAAGTAATATTTTTCCACTAATTGCATATAATGCACTTTGCTTATTGTTGAAGTTTTAGTGGTCTTTTTGTATTTTACTTTATCCAAAATGATTTTTGCTAGTATTTTCTCTCATCCGTGGCTTTTCTTTTCATTCTCTTGACACCAAAGTCAAGCTTAAGAATTATTTCTTTCATGAATTGTGCCTTCCATGTTCAAGGCATATCTCACTCTGAAGTCACTTGGTTTTCTCCTTCGTTATCTTCTGGTAGTCACACAGTTTTTCACTTGATGTATCATCCTTGTGATCTTTTTTGAACTGATTTTTGTAGAGAGTGCGAAATGAGTGTGGAGAGTCTGTGAAATGATTCATTTTTCTGCATGTGAGTGTCTTCTTATTTCAGGATCATTTATTAAAAAATTATATATTCTCAGTTGCATTGCCTTTGGTCTTATAACAAAGATTATTTGACTCTGTTTATGTGGGTCTATTTCTGTGCCCTGTAATCTGTTCCATTGATCTATTTGTCTTTTTTTATTTCACCAAATACCATGCTGAATTATTTCACTTTTAGTTACTGTTTTCATGAAATATCTTTTCTCATCATTTTTCTTTCAAACTATCTGTACAGCTTTATAATAAATCTTAAAGTCAAGCAAGTCAGTTTACAAAATTTGTTTCTGTTCTTTAATTTTATTCTGGGATGTTAGCCACTCTATAAAAATACTAGAATCAGTTTGTCATGTACATGAAATAACTGGCTGGCACCAAGTGTCTATGTCTTTGCAAGTCTTTCATCTGTTTTTTTTTTTCAATTATTTATAGACAATTTTCT